ACCCTGTACAAGGCCCAGGACCACTTCCGGAAGAGGGTTATGTATATTGTTTGCTTAGTCTTATTTTATCCTTTTCTTCCCTTTTCTTATTGTTTACTGAGGACTTTATCAATTCTGTTTGAGAATTGTGTCAGTTTGCACTTAAACATGACCAATTGCTCCAGACTGCACGAGAAAAGACACACGTCTAATAACCTTTGGCACTTCAGAGTAAATCCTAGTGTCACACACGACAACTTAAACCAATGTTTTTACTCAGAAAAGCTTGCCTTCTTACCGGGGAAAGAATTTGATATCGTAATTCACCTCGAACCGAAATGGGATCTTTGACTCCTGCGCGACAAACGCAATTATATCAATGCAGAGATAGGAAATATCAAATTGTGTTCGTCTACTTTAACGTCCCATTGTCCCGTCAGAAAGTTGGCGATCCTGTCTGCCCGCAATTTTCTGTCCTTTGTAGCCTTTAATGAATATTGTCTTTTCGCTATCTCTCTATGCTGTCATATCAAGTAAAAATTTATCACTCATTATTAAAGAGCGAAGAATAGCCTTCCCAATTCACAATGATTAGCAAATTTATCTCAGAGACCCAATGCCACTGTAACGATTTGGACAGTGCTCGACATATGTGACCTTGTGTCAAGCTAATTTAAGCTTACTAAAGATCAATGCTCGTGTCACGACATAGGACAATTGTTGGCAAGCAAAACTCGCAGACCATTACTACTGTAGTGTGTTCGACTCTGAGTGCTCAATATTTGTAGCCTCGTGCCAAACTAAGTTATCTCTATCTATAAAAGGCAGGATGGGTGTGTGTGCGTGTGTGTGTGTAACGAATGCCCGGCCGCAATTTTCGACGGATTTGCACCAAAATTTACATGCACATGCTCCAAGTTAGCGGGAAAGCCAAGATCGACTTTGCATTTCCCAACTCCCATCGATAGTGGAAATAATCGATTTTTTCATGCTTCTGCGGCACTTTTCATGTAGTTTGCGGCCATTTTCTACTGGCCAGAGTGAGAGCCTATAGCTGGCTGCCACGAATAGGCAGGATGATTCTATTGGCCAGCGTGTGAGCCAACAGCTGACTGACACGAATATTAACTAGCATTCTAGCATGCAAAAAAAATCGAGAGCTGCATTCGTCACAAGTGGGGAAAATTTAAATCTGCATGACACTTTAATCCAATTGGCTCATTCGCTTGCTTAAACTCAACGTTGATTCTGATTCCGCAGAACTGGGTTGGGTGTGAAAAAGTATTTGTTGTTAACATTCTTTTTTCATTCGGTTTTTCCAGTTACGAGTCCTTTTTTAAAGCTGATCGTTTTGTATTCATTTTGTTTAGTTCTTTTTTCGTAACAGATTTAATGTTTAGTATAGAGCTTAGAAAAAATTCACAGTGTGAGATAGGCAAGAAGTAAGGCATGTAGCAACATCAGCACGGCAAAGGACACTCCTTTAAAGGCAAAGAAGGGCAAACATATTTTAAGTCAAGTGATAGCAATTGCTGTATGAGTCGTACGATTTTCGAATCAAGCACGGGCAATGCCGGGCAATGCCGGGCCATGTTGCTAGGGTTTGATAAAATTCATATTTATGTGACTCGCTATGGAATAATGAGCATAAAGCTAATATCAAACAACATTACTACTTTCACATGGCGCTCCATATTTGTGGCCTTGTGTCAAACTAAGCTAATTTCAGGAAAAGAAAAGCAATATTTGTGCTTCATAATGTAACTATGTTTAGCAAGCTAATGTCAAACACCATTACTACTTTCACTTGGAGCTCTATATTTGTGGCCTTGTGTCAATATTATGTTATATAATATCTATTAGATAAAATCAGTATTTTGTGACTCGCCATGGAACAACAGCTAAATTATGAACAAAACTATTTTTACTGCAGTCAGTTTGACTGACTGAGTGCTCCATATTTGTGTCCTTTTGTCAAATTAAGTTTGGTAAAATCAATACGTGTGTGTCTCGCCATGGAATAATGGTTAGCAAGCTAATCTCGTATAGTGTGTTAGATATTCACTAAATGCCCGAAATCTGAGACCTTCTGTTAAGGACGTGGATGATTATGGCTCTCCACAATTTCCTGTCCTATGTAGCTCTTAAAAATTTCGTTTTTTTTTAGAGGCGGGGGAATCCCTGTTCTGTCAACAATTTACGTTTCCTGTGTTAGTCTTGTGTTCAATATGTCCTGTGAGTATTGAATTTTACCAGCCCGCTTTCCTCATTATTTTCCCTAGAAATTTCTAGTATCGTTTTCTGAGTTTAAGTATAAGTGTCTTTCCATCCCCACCACATAAAACTTCGTCCTTGCTCACATGTTCAGTCCATGCTATCCTCAGCATCCTTCTGTAGAACTGCGTTTCTTTTGCCTTAAATTCTCTTCATTTGTGAGGAGACTGTTCAGCATTCATTGCCATATAGGACGACCGATACTACATAACAGTCCTGTACTTTTCACTCCGCACTAATCCCCAGTCTTTTGAACAGGATAGGGATTTATTCCTTGTTTCCTGTTTAAAACCGAACTTCCGGTTCCTTCTATAGTCTTTTCCTTCTCTTTCACTTCCGGTGCCCCCTTGAATCTTGGTGTCATTATCATCGTGCTTGGGGTTGTATCTCTTGCTCTATAACCCTCTACCTCGAGTGGCTCTTGGGCCTTGTACAGGTGAACGTCACTGTAAAAATTGTTCTAACAAAACTAAGCCACGCTTGTTAAATATTATTTCTCTGACTCGCCATGGAACAATGGTTAGCAAGCTAAGAGAACGTTATCGTCGTAGATAATAATGAAAATGCGAGACTGAATCTTATTAAGTAACATTAAATTTTATTCAAAAATGCTGTCTACCAGTAGATGTGAGTTTCTGGGTCTTTCTCCAAACGTAGACACGACATTTTCGCGTGGCTGTAACAGACTATGTTCTTTTCCCTATGTACTTTGCATAGCGTTTTTTTTTTGTCCCCCCCCTCACTCCCCCGCGTACATATACAAGTCGCAGTCGATCACGTGTTTATATGTCGCGGGTGAAGCGTGGATTGGCATCCGGAGACTCGAGTCAACTTACTGATTTACTTGGCTTCGCTGAAGGTCACTGAGTGCAAAGTATTTCTTTAATATTTTTTTTTTTTGCCTTCATATAGAGTGAGTCGCATACTACACTAATCTTGAAGACCATTCGCGCTGTCATGGTTCTGAGATTCATTTCCTGTTCCAGAAACTTATGTCCTTGTGCCAGACTTAGCTAAACTTTGTATGTAAATAGCTCGACAGCGCGAAGACATTTTTCTAAAGAACACTTGAAAAAAATAAAAATAAAAATAAAAAATGAAGTAGTATTTTTGAATTTAAAGACATGAAGTGAACTGAGAAAAATTAATACATATTTTTGAATTTTTTTTTTTTTTAAATTCATTCGAAAATAGAACGCTGAAAATTTTAAAATAAAAATAGAAAAAAGAAAGAAGAAAATAAATTAATTTGTAAAAAAAAAAAAAAAAAAAAAAAGATGATTCTTTACTGGTCATAACCAGTCGGTATCTGTGTAAAACGGAAGAGAAAATTTTATTTATACCAAAGAATTCATGAACAACTAACAAATATACAGACATTTACTAATTTTAGCTTACGCCGTCAGAGAGTTGGTGATATTGAAAGAAACAGTTAAGTAAAAAGAATCTGTTGTGCCAGACTACTTAAGAAAGAAAGATATAAAAATCACTTTATACAATCCCCCTTCCTCTTTTTTCTTCGTGCCTTCCGGGTGTAGGCAATCATGGCCCTCCTCAACTTCCTATCTTTCGTAGCTCTTATGAATGTTTTTCTTCTCCGTTTTGCCATCCATTTACACAAGCGTAGTTTGTAACGAAATGTTATCGTTTCTCAGTCCTTTGTTTTGCTCTCCTAATATACTTCGGATTACGGTGTCACATTTTCGTCATTTTTCTTCTCAGATATTACGGAAAAGTAAAAAGAATCTGTTATGCCAGACTACTTAAGAAAGAAAGATATAAAAATCAGTTTATACAATCCCCCTTCCTCTTTTTTTTTTCGTGCCTTCCGGGTGTAGACAATCATGGCCCTCCTCAACTTCCTATCTTTCGTAGCTCTTATGAATGTTTCTCTTCTCCGTTTTGCCATCCATTTACACAAGCGTAGTTTGTAACGAAATGTTATCGTTTCTCAGTCCTTTGTTTTGCTCTCCTAATATACTTCGGATTACGGTGTCACTTTTTCGTCATTTTTCTTCTCAGATATTACGGAAAAGAAAATTTTATTTATAGCCAAACCCAAGAAAAACAAAAACAACTAACAGTTATACAGGCAATTACTAATTTTGTCTTATGCCGAGTTCGTAAAACGTCAGGAAGATTCTGTTGCGTCAATCTACATAAGGAAAAAATATTTTCAACTATAAAAATCAGTATTTGAATGCTTGCATTTTACTGGACTCGAACAGGATTTACAAGCGTAGAATATTTAAAAAAAAAATCTTATGTGCCGTGTTCCTTCAAGATGTGGCCGATCATAGTTCTCCGCAACTTCTTATCGATGTATCCTTCTTGTGAGTGTCAAAATCTCCAGGTCTTCCTTCCTCATTATGCATCCTAGAAAATTCAACTGTCTCTTTCCGATTCTTAGTACAGCGTCTTTTTTTTTGTTTCAATTTTTAAAGAAAACTTTTTCGTTGCTCACATATTTACATCATGGCATTCTCAGCATCCTCCTGTAGAGCCACATTTCTGATGCCTCAAGTCTCCACTTCATCTGCGAGGAGACTGTCTAACGTTCATTGCCACATAAGGAGAATTGATATAATATAGCAGTTCAGCACACCTGTTTCTTGATTACTTTAACTATCGAAAAAAAAAACATTCATTATTAAAATACGCATTTGAATATCCGTGTAGCATTCCCGCTATCACAGATAGTTAAACTTCCCAAACAAGTGAAAATTAGCTGCGATACCGGTGTGCTTATGTTCCAGAAGGTAACGGCATTGCGGAGCGGTGTCACCGTACTGTCAAGAGAACAGCTGCGAGGTCGCGATGCTCGATACTGGCGGCTGTGTACCGGTATAATGCGACACCCAACGCCGTCTAGCGCACCAGCAAATGGCATATACCAGTATGAGCAGCGCGTGAAAGGTATAGACCCCAAACCGTAACATATACCAAGTTGGGGAGCCTGTTTGGGTCAAACCACTGGACAGCCGGTGTATTACCAGATTTGGCCAAAAAAACGGGTTGACGGAGTAATCAGTTCTCAGACAGTGCTGGTCGATGGCTCACCCCGCCACGTGAAAGACCTTCGCAGGCGCGACGAATCAGCCGTTACGGGGGAAGACGAAAGTGACACATCGTCTGGTAGCAAAATGAGGGTCAGATTGACTTGCGGATCGGAAGGCCAACATTCATCTGCACAGTCAGCGTCTGAGGAAGATACCGAATATGAGAATGACCAAATGAGTGGACATAGAGGGAATGTGGGAAACCTGACGGGAGAGCACCCTACACCCCTGAGAAGAAGAACCCGGAGGAAACGAGCGCCACCTCCATGCAATATTTGTGATCATGAGATCAGGGGGGAGTGTAGTGAAAATTGGAACGAAAATAATCACCCACCTGATCGAAAACGGCAGTGTATATGTTCTGCGTGCAAGGTGTGTGTTTTTTGGTTTTTTGCCCCCGGCAAGCTTATATTGCGAATGGTCACGTATCCTCACGCGGGCAGTCGCGTAAAACCACGGAAAGTGAATTCACGCATGCAAATGAAGGAGGGCAGAAAAGAACATAGAAAAGCCGAACACTCGTCACTCAAGGGGAAAAAAAGAATCTTCTGCAACGTTGAAGAAGAATCTTGTAAAGGAGAAAGCAGTGGCACAGAAAGAGATTATTGAGTAAATTGAGGGAGTTTATCAGTCGTTGCGGTTTTACACCAGGCGCACCAAGAGAATAGTGTGTTTGTTCTGTCGTCGCAGATTTGCACCCGGTCCCAAATCTATCAATCGTGGTGGAGATCTTTTTTATTATCTGGAGCTGTTTTTTTTTTTTATCGAAAATGCTAAAGATATTTAATGTTGTCTTTCCTATCAAATCGTAAAATGAGAGTTATTCTGAACGACCACACCTCTAGATCCTTTCGTACCAATGTAGGTGTCCTCCCCAGGGCTCCATCTTTAGTTCTATTCTATTTTTAATTTTCATCAATGAGCTTCATGATAACAACTTGGTATCTACGCTGACGACACAACTGCTCCGATAGTAAGGCTTATCAATCTGACAAGGTCAAAATGGCTGCCGATGTCGAAAACGACCTCAAGTCTGTAGTTAACTAAGGCAAAAGATGGCTTGTTAATTTTAACGCCTTCAAAACTAAAATTCTCTCCATTAATCATCTGAGAGACCCCTTGCTGCTTTCCATGATCATGGCTGATGTTAACCTACAGGAAAGTGACCCGTTGCGCATTCTAGGGCTCACGTTCTTTGCAGATATGAAGTGAAAATACTATATTGAATACATTGCTAAGATACTCTGCCATATAAATAAGGAGGCGCCATTTTTGTTTTCAGTCTCTAATAACAATGTCTGTGCGATTATCTTTGATTCTTCTGTCTGTGTGTCTTGTAAAGTCCCATAAAATTGTTAGGTGTGTTTGTTCAGGAAGTTTGTCAGTCGTCGGTAGACTTCTGTATATTGTTTCCTCCTTTTTTAAAATCATTTCATCTCAAGCAAGGCAATAAAGCCACTATGATGCAAGAGTTACTGAGTGTTAAGAAAATATGAGAAAAAAAAACAACTATTAACGACAGACGATAACGATTGACATTGCATTTAAATTTTTGGAGATCAATGTTGACTGGGAAGCAAGAAGCCGAAAGAGGGTTCCACAACGTAGAAGTGCGATAGCATAAATTCTCAGCATAGAACTTACGGTTACATCTAGCCATTTCAACTGTAAAATGATGAGACCCTTCCGCCAATCTAGTAATGCGTTTAAATTCATGTAGTTAGCTACTGTAGCAGAATGTTCCTCAGAAGAATTACCATGAAAGTGTTTATAGAAAAAAAGGCACAGGGAAGCAATGTTGCAGCGATGGGAAAAATGACAGAAGCCGAGGTGCCAGGTCAGGATCAATAACATTGCAGATTCTTCGTTGGATTTTATCAAGAACTAGCAGTAGAGCCCGGCGTTGCCCGGGGATGTAACAGTAAGAGATAGATCAAGTATCGACCATCATAAAGATGGAAAAATAAAATTGACAAAGATTATTGTTTAAGGTTGATGGACACGCATGTCTTAATTAGTTTTTTTTTTTTTTTTTTTTACGAATTGGTCAAACCCAAACTCAAACAAAAACATTGTTTTCAATCGTTATGAGTCTATCAATTGAATAGAATTTTATTATAAACAACTGTCTTGTAAATGGAATTTTTAAAGCATTCTGAATGTAAAAATAAAGAAAAAAGTGCAAGACAATAAAAAACACTATCTGCCAAAAAAAAGTGAAGTTTTGTTGAAATCGGTTGAAAAATATAGGAAATCCGATCCCATATATAAACGAACACACACACATGAGTTGTCCCCCTTTCATTCTGGTGACAGAATCGTGTTTTATCGTGTTTTCAAATTGATTTCATGCAAAAACAATTGTGTTTTCCAATTTTTGGCGCTGTCAGAACCATCGCAAGGTAATTTTACATAGTCCTGTGAAGTTTTGTTGAAATCGGTTGAAAAATGTAGGAAATCCGATCCAATATATAAACGTACAGACACACACACACACACACACACACACACACACAATCTGCATTTTATAATAAGTAAGATCTCTAAATATGCAGCAGGAGAGTTTCACCGAAAAATTTATGAAGCAGCTTATTTTCTTTTAATAAAAAAAATAATCTTGTAGCTTATATACAACTAGGAAGAGTTTTATATAGAAAACAATTGCAAAAATGTTCAGCTGAAAAGCAGAAATTATTACGAGTATGTACACCCGTACTTTTTTCTTTTTTTTTTTACAATAAGGTTCACGCTGTACAAAGCCCGGGGTTTACTCATGGTAGAGGGTTACGTTAAGAGGTAGTTTGTACGGATAAAAGTATGAAGATAACGATTAACTGTAGATTTGAACAGGTTAAGATAGTGGTGATCGGGGAAACATGCTCTTGGGCGTCGGTTCCACAGGGCAGTAGTTCGTAGGAAGAAGCTGTTTAAGGGGAACTTACCTTCTCGCCGGTGGAATACGGAGGGAACGAGGGTGGTTTGCTACAAATGTGTAGCATGGTGGGTTCTAGCCGTAAAGGTTAGACCTGGTGAAACATTTCTATTTTAAAATGATGAGACCTTACCGCCAATCTAGTACTGCACTTAAATTCATAAAGTCTAGCTACCATAACAGAATGTTCCCCAGAAAAATTAACATGAAAGTATTGTATAGAAAAGACACAAGTCACATTACGGCGGTGGGAAAAAAATGATTGAAGCAGAGATGCCAGGTGATGACTAATAACATTGCAGATTCTTTGGATTTTATCAAGGATGTCTAAATATATAGCAGGAGAAATCTTAAAAAATGTTTATGTAGTTACATGTTATTTATATCGCTTTATTTTGGTTCTCTTTATTTTAATGTTTTATACTGTACCTAAGAACACTAATAAGTATGTCCCAATCCTCATAAACACAGTGTTTACTTATTCCCCCACGAGTTGCGCTGGCCTCAGTGCGAGCACCGATCCCTCCCTCTTGTGCAATGGGAGGACGCAGGCTCGGGCAACTGTTCCCCAGAGCTTGGCACCTCTTTAGTATTATTTTCTCAGTTGCCCCTCTGTCCTTTGACAGAGAAGCCCCTGAGCGCACTCTGTCCAAGGACAGAGACGCAACTGAGAGATGGTAAGTAATTTTTTTTTTAAAGCATTACACCCCGAGCAAGGCGTGAAGCCACTAGGATGCAGGGGGTTGCATAAGATTTGGAGCAAGAAAAAATAGGAGTGATAGAAGAAAGGATGAGGAGAGGGATAGTGGGTAGATCAAGGTAACTGGAGATATCGATTGACATTACATTTGAATAGTTGGAGATTATAGCTCTCAGGGAAACAGTAATTGGGAAGGGAGTTCCACATACGAGAGGTGCAAGACATGAAGCTATTGGAGTAGAAGAGACGGCTACATTTAAAAGTTTCTACAGTGTAAGGGTGGGAGTGGGATGCCAGCCTCATAGGGTGCTTGAATTCATGAAGTCTGGGGACCAGTGAAAGCAGCTCATCGGAGCAATTACCATGAAAGTATTTGTAGAAAAGACAGAGAGAGGCGACAGCGCGTCTGTGAGAGAGTGACTCTAGACGAGATGCCAGACCAGGGCCAATTATATTGCATATCCGTCTCTGGATCTTGTCAAGAACTCCGAGGTAAACAGAAGGTGCCCCAGACCTTATATGGCAACAATACTCCATGCAAGGGCGAATGGTTGATTTGTATATTTGAAGTATCGATTCCGGGGAGAAAAATTTCCTAGCGCGGCACAGAGAGCCAAGTAATGTGCAGAAATTACATAGAGTAATTTATGCGGTAAATACGATGGACACTGTTATAAGTGAGGGTAATATGCTGTATAAGGGGTTCATCGCTAGCAGTGGTTTACCTACTTCACGCCGCTGGCGAGTATTGTATTTTGTTGATGTTATAAAGATTACCATTTCATTTCCAGCCTCCGTTTTGGTTATTCCTCATTCAGTAACCCTTTTTAGGTTACAGCACTTAAGTAATCCGATGTTGTTTTATATTTTATATTTACCGTCATTCATGTGTCTGCCTGCAAATTCCTGACACATATGGTCCGGTGTGACTGCTTTTTACCTTGAGCTCTTTGATAAAACCCCGAAAAAAGAACCAGCAATGATCTAACGTCTCTCCTTCAGTCAATTTCCCCATGATCAAAGATACATGGCCTAGTGGATAAGAGCGTTGGTTGTATCCAGTGACTTGACCCAAAGCGTTGTGAGTTCAATACCAGGTTACAGCAGTGGCAAACAAAAACTTGGAGAGTCGAGTTAAAGGGAAATAACTGAAACTTAATTGCGTCTCTCACTATGGTCGAGGAAGGAGATTTCCTGATGTTATCAGGCAGGAGGGGGTCGATTCCAACATGTTGCACCTTTGGAAAGTGCCTGATAAGCATACCTAGCGTTGTGAGTGAAATTGGATAGACGGAACCTTTGAGCCCATCGATAGCTATGCTAGCACGAAGCCATAAGTCATCGTGGCCGAGGGCTTGATCGTACTGGACTTGTTCAAATTGCTGATCACGATAGATAAAACGCTATCTCTCCCAGAAACTGTAACTAAGGTCTGCTCAGCATAGTTGCAGTATAAACCACAGGTGGGCTCTGTGGATGTTAAATAAACACAAATATGCCTGAGTGAGCGTCTGCAACAGGGATTGGTTAGCCGACCTAGTAGACGGCTATCCTCGAATACGAGTGACCAGCTATATATACAGTTGCGTATTATTAATATCGTTTTATTTTTGTTCTCTTTATCTTGATCAATCCGATGTGGTTGCTAATTTTAATTTTACCCCTCTCCGCCGTTTACGAGTCCGTATGCAAATCTGTCCAGCTGGTCATTTTTTTTTATTTTTGAGCGGAGTCTCCTAAGGAAAGGAATTCTTCTCTTCTCGTAAGATATCATATATGCGAGTTTAAAAAAAAAGTTACTAATACTAGCCTAATTAACGACCTGTTCTAGCTAAACAGTCGAACTCTCTGCCTTCGGGCAGAGAGGAACCCCGGACGAGGCTCCGCCGAAGGGCAGAGTCTCGTTCGGGGAGGTAAATTGCCCCTGAACCCGTTTATACGGGTTCAAAAGGGAATATTTTTGTCCGAGCCTACGGGCTCGGAGAACCCATGTTAAACCGGCCTTGTGCCACAAGCAACCCTCATGGGGGTGGTAGCTAAATATACTAGCCAAATTCACGGCTTACGAACATTTCTCTTAATAATAATTTAGAAAATAAGCAGACGATGTTATTTTATCTATGGTAACTGGATTTTTGACGATTGCCTTGCTAGGTTTTATGTTACTTTTATCGGGTCGCCAGATCTTCTCGGCCATTTCGCTGGGATCTAAGTGTAGTATCTAAGACGTGGATTTGGCTAGTTTAATTAACTTTTCTTTAATTCGCGTGCATGATATCTTACGAGAAGAAAAGTATTGCTTTTCTTAGGAGACTAGGCTCAAAAATAAAAGTGACCAGCGAGCCAATCCCTTTAGTAGACGCTCACTCAGGCACATTTGTGTTTATTCAACACCCACAGAGCCCACCTGTGGTTTATACTGCAACTATGCTGAGCAGACCTTAGTTACGGTTTCTGGGAAAGAGCGTTTTATCTATCGTGATCAGCAATTTGAACGGTTGCGGGGGCTGGGCTCGAAAGCACACGTCAAGCCCACCACATTAAACTGGCTTTGTGTCACATCCTGATAGTGTGCGACGGCAAGAAAATGCAATCGCTTCTCGGTCTTTTGACTAAGATCAACGTGTGGTATCTGTACTTATCAGCTTATTCTGATTTTCTCTCTCTATTTCTATCTATCTATCTATCTATCTATCTATCTATCTATCTATCTAAGTATATTCACTATCTAAGTATATTCACTATCTATCTATCTATCTATCTATCTATCTAAGTAGATTCACTATCTAAGTAGATTCACTATCTATCTATCTATCTATCTATCTATCTATCTAAGTAGATTCACTAAGTAGATTCACTATCTATCTATCTATCTATCTATCTATCTAAGTATATTCACTATCTATCTATCTATCTATCTAAGTATATTCACTAAGTAGATTCACTATCTATCTATCTATCTATCTATCTATCTATGTAGATTCACTGTCTATCTATCTATCTATCTATCTATCTAGATTCACTATCTATCTATCTATCTATCTAGATTCACTATCTATCTATCTATCTATCTATATATATATATATATATATATATATATATATATATATTAGTATATTCACTATCTATCTATCTATCGATATATATATATATATATATATATATATATATATATATATATATATATATATATATAGTATATTCACTATCTATCTATCTATATATATATATATATATATATATATATATATATATATTCACTATCTATCTATCTATCTATGTATCTTTTTGTTTTCTCACTGAAACCTAGTCGTGGGTATACGACGAACTACATTCGACAGCAAGGACTCTGATTGGGAGATTGGAAATTTGAAGAGTGTGGAACCACCTCTTAATTGCTGTTGTTCTCAGCTCTACCCTAATCTGGGTTGGTAACACCTGTTAAGGCTCAGCTACAGGCAAATAGCTGACCCCCAAGCAAAAACAAAACATGATGGAAGTATAAAACTATATTTATATAGTAATAATTCCAGCAGAATATTTTTTAATATAAAAATGACCAACAGTACCTATATATATATATAATATATATATATATATATATATTTATATATATGAATAAAACGAGACAAGAGGAAAACTATATTTAACCGACATATCATGAAAAAGGGCCGTAAACTTTATAAAAAAAAGGAGTTTTGTCGTAAAAGTTTTCCTATTATTAAGAGGAAAGACTGAAGTATTTTTGGATTATTTTATTAAAATATTTCACCCTTTCTAGCACGTTCGAAATTTTGGCTAAATATCTTTTTTTCTTTCTTTATATCAGCGGTCGGCGTAATATTTACCATTAATGTTTTTACGCCTTTTTTTTCCGTTGAAAAACACATTGATTTGGAAATTCTTGCAAAAATCAGATAATTATCGGATTTTAATGAAACTTTCAGAACTTATTCACAAATGAATGAAATTATTTCAGGTATGTTTTTTTTAGAAAATCATGTTAAGTTTTTTATCTGTTACCCCTACACACACACACACACACACACACACACACACACACACACACACACACACACACACACACACACACACACACACCTTACTTAATTTTATGAAAACTCGAGAAATTCGACCGCATGACTTTTATTGATTTATTAATTAAAAGCAGATGACTTTGAAGAATATAAATCTTAGTTTGTTTTTTGGGGTTTTTTTTTTTTTTTTGTAAAATCGAATCACACAACATTCAACTCAGAATTGTAACTACAAAACCCAATAAAACTAAAACATTAATTAACTCGAAAAACTTTTAATGGCTTTTATGAATAGAATATGTTAGGGACAATATTGTCTGAAGCTAAAATAGTTTTCCGATGAAAAATGAATTTTTACAATTGTTTTCTTTTTTTTTTTTTTCAATTTTATATACAAAATGTGAATAAGTTGTTAAATATTTTAAAATTAAGTTTAATTCCGTGCACTTTAGGGAATGCTGTTATTAAGTAGATCTATCTTTACAGATTATAAATTTGAAAGCTTATTACAATCTACGATGTAAATGCATTTTAAAAAAATATTTACTGTTTTTGAGTTTGCATAAAATCTTTTTTCCAAATATATGGATGGTCGTAAGTAACCTTAATGTTACGTGTTTTACGTGTTGTTTCTCCTGACAGCAATAAACTGACTTCAAAAAATGTTAGTTTTCTTCCTTCCACCCCTTTTGTTGAATTCTCTGATTGACTTTGACCATCATCGTCGCATTTTTAAGATTTATTCTTTAAGTTCTATTTCAATAAATATTATAATTTAATTTTTTAAATATAATTAATTTTATTGTTTATTCATAAAAGCCATTAAAAGTTTTTCGAGTTAATTAATGTTTTAGCTTTATTGGGTTTTGTAGTTACACTTCTGAGTTGAATTTTGTGTAACTGTGTGATTCCATTTTACAAAAAAAAAAACAAAAAAACACAAAGATTTATATTCTTCAAAGTCATCTGCTTTTAATTAATAAATCAATAAAAGTTATACTGCAATTATTATTTTCGTTTTTAATTTCAAATAACATTTCTTAAAAATGAGAGAGGTACTGATAATTATTACCGTAATTCTCCATGTATAATACGCATTTTTTTCTAAAAAATAATAACTGAAATCATGGGTGCGTATTATGCACAACTACAAAAATTGTCTTTAAAAAATTGCCGTAAAATAAAATAAGAATTATCATAAAACTAAATTAGAATAATATTATTCTATGTTTAAAACCATTTAAAAAAAAAAAAAAAACGCTGGTCGTAATGAAATTGGAGAGGTACAATTCATAGGGTTTGATTACCAAACAAGGGATGCGTATTATGCATGAGTAAAAGCATTTTCTAAAACTTTCAGCACAATTTTAGTGGTGCGTATTATGGATGAAGGCGTATTATACATAAGGAATTACAATAAGTACTTATCTTATTTATTAAATGTCATGGTATTTTTTTAAAAGGCAATTCAGCCCAAGCAAGACGGGAGTGCGATGCAAGGGGTTACAGAGGATTGAGAACAAGAGTAAAGATGCGTTTTTGAGGAAAGGATACAGAGAAGGACGGGGAACAAGCTCAGGGTGCCAAATGTCGATTGACATTACACTTGAATATTTGAAGATTATAGTCATCGGGGAAGCAAGTAAGGGGGAGGTAATTCAACAGACGGGAAGTGTATGAGAAGAAACTGTTGGAGTAGAAGAGACGGTTACATTTAAACGTTTAGACAGTGAAAGGGTGGGACCGAGATGCCAACCTAGTAGCACGCTTAAATTCATGCAGTCTGGGAAGCAGGGTAAGTAGCTCGTCGGAACAGTTGCCGTGAAAATACTTGTAGAAGAGACAGAGGGAGGCCACGGCACGCCTGTGGGATAGCGGTTGTAGACTAGATGCCAGATCAGAAGCTATCATCCTGCATATTCGTCTATTTTTAATTATTAATTTTTATATTATTTCAGTTGTGAAATTTTTTCATAACTGGGATATAAAAATTAATATTAAATAAAAATAATATCACAAAATTCTATTACAAATGTACGTAAAAATTAGCTATTTAAGAAATTTGATCTATTTCATCTCGTTTTCAGTTATGAAATTTTAAATTTATTTTACTGTTAATATTTTAAATTTTATTTTTCGAGAAATCATCTTCAGGCTAAAGTACCTAAAAAAAAGTAAAAGTCAATAAAATATTGCTGAAAATATTTGTTAATTTTTTAAAATTACCGTGTAGTTAAATTAGTTCACTTAGGATTCGAAAAATTATGTCACTTTTGTTCTTCCGTCCGATAACTTCCCCTTTTCTAAGCTGTCGATTTACATCGATTTAAATGTCAGTTAACACATTCAAAAGAAGTCACTGCGTTAATACATACTTTTTATGGTATTCCGCTGTTGTAAAATTTTGAATGTTGTAAAAAGGATGAAAAGATTTAATAAAATAATTCAAAAATACTTTGGCCTTTCCTCTTAAATTTATTATTTTCTAAATGTTTACGTTAATTTATAAACATTTAGACAATAAAAAAAAATTCATGAAGTTTGGGATCTTTTTTTTTTTCATCAGGGTACGCTCTTTTGCGGCAAATAAGTAAAGATTCCTATTGGGCCTATATATTTCCTTTAACGAAGCAGTGTGGCGCATCCTGGGTTTCGAAATCCACGAACGGGATCCAACAATGGCGAATCGAGCTGTTCTTGAAAATGGCGCCTATATTTCACAGAAGATACTGCTCGAAACGTAGTTGACAATACATCAGAAACCACTTTGACAGCTTTCTTCAAATTATTCCAAAGCGTCCTGTTTGCCCGAACACTGCTGTATGCTGAGGTACCCGTCTCCTACACCTGGGAATACAATAGATGGAGCGGGCGCAAGCAAGTAGCGCAAGTTGGGGGCCGGGAAGAAAATGCTGAAATTCAGTAGAGGGACCAGCGGGCGGGCGTGTACTATGCACCCCAACCAGCAGGAGTCTGTGTTTATCGCTGCGTACTGTCAGAGGTCGTATATCATTCACAGACCTGCGAAGATATAACGGACGACATGCGGAGAAACCTGCGCCAAATATGAAACTACGGGAGGACGATGCCCACTGGGACGACCAGACACTGGAAGAGGAAGGAGTCAGCAGAGATCCAAGTTAACTACACCAGTTGTTTTCCATTATGCTGCTGACACTTAGCTTGGGTGAGCCTCTCAAGCTGTGGCCGACCCACAAAACCAGCAGTGCAGAGGACCCCCTACGAAAGATTCAGAGGCAAACCTCAACGGAAATTATCACTTTAAATGATGCCATTTACAATGAGGCATATATTGACCTGGACACCTGAGTGAAAGCTATGGGAGGCCAAGGAATTGCTACATTTGTCTTACCTCAACCTGAGCAGGCAGCAATTGACCATATGCAGGAGAGCAGCTATGACACCAAGGAGATGACGGCGTATATAGCTGATAGCAAACACAAACCGGAAGGCCGAGTGGTTATAACACGGTTATTTCAAGCATTGAAAGAGAAAGAGGAGATCTATTCTTCCTCGATGTCCCAGTTGGAATTGGCTAGAGATTTATCATCAACCTACTTCTGGCTAAACTGCACCAAATGAAACATATTGCTCTAGCAGTGGCGTCAAGTGGAATAGCTGTAATCTTTCTAGGCAGTGGCCGCACAGTTCATTCGTGCTTCAAATTCCCTTTGGCGCTGTCCAAAACAGAGAAGGCAACCTGCAACATCAGTCGTGGTTCTATAAAAGGCAAACTCCTCAGTGATTGCAAATTGATCATTTGGGATGAGGCGACAATAAGCCATAAGATTTATTTCGAGGCTCTCGGCACGGCACTCCAGCGTCTGAGACACAACACACGAAAGATTCAGAGGCAAACACCAACGGAAATTGTCACGTTAAATGATGCCATTTACAATGAGGCATATGTTGACCTGGACATCTGAGTAAAAGCTATGGGAGGCCAAGGAATTGCTACATTTGTCTTAACTCTACCTGATCAGGCAGCAAACAAGCTCCCAATTGACTATATGCAGGAGAACAGCTATGACACCGAGGAAATGACGGTGTATATA